CTAACAGTTAACTGTCAAAAGTGCAATTCCAATATAGGCAAGTTACAGTGAACTTTTAAGTTCACCGAGAGCAAGCATTAACGTGGCACCCCTTTCCATTGAATAACATTTGTTACATGTGAAGTATACGAAGCACTTTATATTACTCGTGACGATTAGCGTTAGTACGATTCTTTGAAATAAGTTGATGGGAATTAGGTCAAATAATTTCTTTCTCTTTTTAGTCTTAAATGACATCAATTTGCAATCAAATCGTAAAGCGTAACTATTTTCAAATCATTTGATAGGGTTTGGTTGCGGATATTTGCGTTTGGAGCGAGGTATTGGCGTTTATTTATATCATTTTTGTTGATATTTTGGCTGGAATTAGTAATTGATTCTAAAGCGTGTCTGGAATAATGGCAGGTCTGTATCAAGACCCTTTGGGATCGTCATTCTTGGCCCCAGACCCCAATATGTAAATACATATATATCCAAAATAAGGAACCGCTGCGATCTTTGCACCGTTATTGATATAAAATTGCAAGTATACAGCAAAAATTCGCTTATATTCAACGTGTTTTTGTTCTTAAATGGTTTGTCCGCCTGAGCAGCCGAGTAGGTAAGAACCGCGACTATCAAGTCAGTGTTTGCGGGCTCAAATCTTAAATTTTCTTTGGTCGTAGCTATAATGAGTGCCTGGTCGGTAAAAGCATAAATTACTTAAATAACTTACCGACTGAGCGCTTAAAGTGACCCAGGAGTGCCCGTAGCCTCAACCTTTCTGCTTCTTTCTCTTTCCTCACACCTTTCTGCCAGTAACCCTGTTAGGGGACATCCCCCGAGTGGTTGGTCATATTTAAAAAAAAAACCTTTTAATTTTATATAAAAAGCGCTTTGTATCGTATCTGAAGCAGTTAGCGGTTATTAATAATTCCTTATGGCATATATGCAATCTTGAATACACGTCCATTTTCTGTATCTGACGAAGATCGTATAATTTACATTTTCCTTTCATATTAAGGAAATACTCAGGGATTTATTTTCTTCTTCAATGCTATTCTTTTAAGAGGTAAAAGTGAATGAAGGATTAAGAATAAAAAGAAATTCGAGTAAGAGTTTCTGGTTTGCCTGCAAGTATTTCAACAGTTTTTATACCCACCATCAACGAACAGAGGTAGATTTACTTTTCAAAACGCCTGCAACACTTTGATAAAAGCTTCAATGACTTCTTGAAATGTATGTGTTCTCGATCAGTATCAAACTCTGAATGATTTAGGAATGTCCGTCTGTCCGTCTGTCCGTCTAAAGAAAAAATTTCTTTGATTGTAAAAATTAGGATATCGACGTCCAAGTCAACATCAACATTGCAAGATGGGTCTCATCGGTCAAAGTAGAACGTAACTCAGGCCACCTCTACGCTTTTAATAGCCGGAAAGTATGAACTTTTGCTTATTAATTATAAACTTTAGCAATAAATATTCGCATATATTATTTTAATATATGGGTGGTGGGTATAAAAGATGCGGCTATAGCCGAATTTTTTATTGCTTGCATTGTATTCTTGTCGTTTATTTTTCGCAATTTTTCCTTAACGACTTCAACAACAATACTCATACATATGCTTGCAGTGCTTTGGATATTTAGGTTAATTATGGTAAATATGATATATATTCAGTTTGTTTTTAACACAAGTGTTGTAAGCATTGTTTTAATTTATATTGCATTTAGTTAAGTTTAGTTTTTTCATTTACACTACTCTTAACCCTTTGAATATGCAATGAGAAAAACTGAAAAAACTGAAATGTTAAAAGACAAGTTCTGAAATCTGTGGAGTAAGGTGCAGTGTGGATTTTACTACTTCTGGCTAGAATAATAAGGCATTTGACAAGTGCAACAATTTTAAATTGCTCGGCATTAATTAGAATATGCTGCTGACTGTTAATTCAGATTATCTCTACAGGCTTCGCAAGCCTTTCTCGCCTATTTTGCGCCCAACACGATCGCTGTTTAGTTGGTTATATTGAATCGGAAAGAAATTTCGTTCTTTTGACCAAAACAAAAGCCAATTTCTTCAGAGTTTGTGAAATATTTTATCAAGAACAATGGAATTCGACAGACTTAAACTGTCAGTGATCTCGCGAATGGCTTTATTCTGTCTTTATCAGCTCCTACTGGCCTTCCGGAACGTAATGCAGAAGCGTCGAAACGAAATTTCGCAAACCGGTTATGGCACTAGCATTTTACCCGTTCATCGCTTTTATTTTATATATTTTCGCTAGTAATAGAAGTAAAGTATGGCGAAAATGCTGCTTTGCCTTGGTAGGGCACAAAAGGAAACTTTTCGTGTAGAATGAAACAACATTTTTTCTACAAATTTTTCTCGACAAGAAAAAACTTGTAGATTGCTATTCGGAGTTAAAAAACAACCAACTCTGTTGTAAATTCACCTTAGAGTGCCTCTTCACTATCCACCATTTAATACAAATGTACAAAAAGTTTTATTCGTGCTTAGAACGAATATGAAATAGCTACCATTTTCAAGAAAGCTCTCTATTGCATTCATTATGCTCATGGCTCTGACAAATCCTTACAACTTCTTCTTTCTTCAGATGTTTCTAGTTGACTGTTATTGCCGGCGTATTTTTAAACCGACTATAACTAGGATGGTGGGATGGACGGACGGGCATATATTAGAAAAATACCTAATATCTTACGCTAAAAAAAATATCGGCAGTTAACAGAATCGTCGAACATTGTTCTCGGCTTTCGAAAGTGAGATGGCGAAGTTGGTCTTAGCATTAACACCTATGCTTTAATTATTAAGAAAATTATAACAATTTTCACAAATTTTCCCCGAGTGCTAAACAGAATCGTTGTTTATGCCGGACAAATTATTGAGGCCTGATCATTAAGCGTTCACATCCCCTACGGAACTGATACGCTATTTAGGTTTAATGTTTTATCTTAATATTAGGTCCGTTAAAAATGCCATCTAATTGATAAATGAAACTGAGAAATGGGTAACAAAAACTTATATCCGTATTTTGAGAGGAACTACAGACGAAATATTAAAATAATAACACTTTTTAGACCTACTCACGGTCTTGTTACAGTCGCCCGATGTCGGTAAATTTAATGAATATTTCTTTGAAAATATCTTCTCCATAAAAGGGAGGTAAGTCTACAACGAAAATAGTTTGCATATCAAATTCTTTTGCTAGATGCAATCCAGCACCTCAAAGAATATGAATGGAAAAAAGTTTAATTACTACCGGTATTAATAGTGTTCATAAAAGGATTTCATTGGACGTTCCAAAAACAAATATTTGCGTTTAAGTTACTTCTGAAGAGTGGAACTATCGGCAATTGATGACATGTTTATCTGCTGCAGTTTTTAAGAACATTGCTTTCAATTTAATGGTTTAATGCAACATTCTTTTCAAGTTTCAAGTCAATGACTTTATTTTCCCATTAAAATTGATGCATTTTTAACGCATATCTTACAACATTCTGGGTTCAAAAGTGTGCAAAGGCAATGACAACAACAATGAAAGCGAACAAAAAAAAAAAAAGGAAGAAAACAATAGGCACAATACTAAGTCATGAAATCAATATAATTGGCAAGATTCACCTACGAGAACTCTTTTCTCTTTTTGTTTTTGTTGCTGACATAGGCAAAAAAATAAAAAAAAAATTGCTTTTGTATATTAAAGATATTTTATTTGGTTAAGTGGTAATAGTCCTTATGCTGTTGTTATTGTTCTTGTTCTTATTTCATTCCAATGGAACAGCAATAGCAATCGTTGAAAAAGAGAGAGAGAGAAAAGGTAAAAAAAGAGTGTAGAAATGTTAAGAGTGAGAATACCGTATGTGATGTTTTCACATCATTTATAATTTTTGTTTGTTTCGGTGTTTTGATATGAGCGACAAAAAAAAAAAAATTCAGAGAAAAAGCATAAGAAAGTAAGGCGGAGAAAAAGAGAGAGAAAGAGAGAGAGCGAGCGAGAGTAAGCACATAAAGTTTTAAGAGTGCATGTGCTAAAGCTTTTTTAGTTTGAATTCGCTTTAGCAGTCAAGTGTGATAGATATGAGACGTGGGAAAGAGAAGTAGGAAGAAAAGTAAGTGTAAGTTCACAATCGTTAAGAGTGTGTAAGATAAAAAGTTTGGTTATTGTTTCATGTTGACTTTTTTGACATTTGAACAAAAGTCTTTTCCTCCTTTTCTCTTTTATGCAATGGGCTTCGCCAATATTGGTAAAATTATACTTTATTTAGAGATTATTCTACTGCGCTTTTTTTTTTTTTTCTTTTTTTGCTGACGACTATAATCCATATCCAAGTTGGGGGGGGGTAAGAATGATGTCGACGTGCTACCTCAGAATGAATAGAGATTTTCTTCATTTAATATTTTCTCAATACTTTTAAATAATTTTATATATTTTTAGGTTTTGCTTTTTATTGATTTTACCTTTCGCTTTAACCGTAATTTATATACATATATTTGTATATATATATATATATATATATATATATAGTTTTTTACGGTTTTTAAAAGATACAAACAGTTTTTCTTTTTTTTATATTTTGTTGCGTTGAAATAATTAATTTAAATGTTTTTTTTAACTTTTTCTTGTTGTCGTTGTTGTTTTCACTGTTTAAAGATAGTAAAGAAAATTTATATTTTGCTTATTTCGCCTATTATTTAACAGAAATTCCCTTGCGTTGCGTTAGTGGCCCCGTTTCATTTTATCATTATTAGCATGTATCCCCAATATCGAAAGGACAAAAAAAAAAAAAAAAAAAAAAAAAAAAAAAAACCTCAATAAATGGTGGCCAATTTTTTTTTTTTTTCACTTTTCTCCTTTAAAGATTTATTGAAATGAAATTATTTTTCTTTTAAATGAAAAAATAATCTCTTAATATAAATAAAGAATTTTAGTTAAACACTCGATGAAGGAAGAACATTTTTCCTTTTGATTTTATAATATTTTTTTTTTTCTTTTTTTCATGCTAATCACCTTTTTTTTTTCTTCTGTATTAATTAGATGCTGCAAAATAAATTTTTTCTCTAAACGTTCACGGTCGATGTTCGTACGCGTTTGTGGGATAATGTAGCCAATAATATGTCCTACAGAAAAAAGCTTTGTTACTTTACTTTTGATTTTCAAAATTTATGCGCATGTATAAGTTCGTGTGATAAACAACGGAATCGATAACTTAAGCTTTAATTGTAGAGTTGAATTTTCTAATATAAAAATGTATTTTTATTATATATATACTTTCTTATTCATTCAAAGAATTATCTTAAATTTATTTAAAAATTAATGTACATTTTTATTTATAAAAATTAATCATTTTTGAAAATTTCATCTCCTTTTGCGGCTTTTTTGGACAAGCTTGGCAACTTGCTGTTTATTATAACTTTTAAATATTCCTTGACATTTAAATTATTCTTGAAACTTTTCCAAGCTTAATATCTCTTAAATAATCTCTTTATCTCTTATTTCGCAGTGTCATGCATGAAATTTTTATGTGATAGTCGTTTAAAAGCTTTTGGTCTCTCAGTGATAAGACTATTAGTTGTAGTGGACAAAACGTTGACTTAATAAAACTCGAAAGAGCTTTTATGTACAAATTATTTCAACTCTGTATTTGCACTTTTTGTTTTTTTTTTATTGTTATAATGAAGATGGCAGTATTTTCTTACGATGAATTTGCTAAAACTTCATATCTGTATCACTAGAGGGGCCGACCTCGCTTGTTAATTAAAAAAAGAAACTACATTTTCGTTCATTTTGAATAACTATGGTGTCCGTCGAGAAAAGGATATTCCGTTTGAAAATTGTTGCAAATATATATTCAAGTTAAAGTGATATGCAAGTATTGTATCCTGCTTACTAAAATTTCCTTAACTAATATGTAAATATACCAGGTCGAGAAGAAGACATTCCGTCCAAAAATTGTTGAAAATATATATTCAAGTTAAAGTAATGTGCAAGTATTGCATCCTGCTTACTAAAATTTCCTTAAGTAATATGTAAATATACTAGGTACGTAAGTATGAAATCGGAATTGGCATAGCTGGCCTCAACATCACGCAAGGCTTTGAGTTAATATTTCTCAATGCTTTTAATTCAAATTAATATTCCCCTTAAGCTTAAACGTACATACGTATGTATATACAAGGACAAACAAGTTGCTTCAAATTTCTTTAATTTCTCCGACCATAAAAAAATATCCCAGATAAAAAATTTCCCTGACCATGGAAAATATTCCAGACCATATATTTCGCTTTGTTAATACTTTAAGCCTAAAAATATTGTAAGCAAAAATTTTGCAGATGGTAAGTAATTAAAAAATGATACCAGTATTACATTATAGAAATATAAGTTTAAGCAAATTTACTTTTTCTCTTCTAAGTATAACACATTGTCAAATATTATTTTTCACCCGACGAGGACCTACATATTTATAGTTGTTTGTTGTTTTTTTTATAGCTTGGACGATTGGTCAACAATGAGCAGTGCTGATACCAACCCCGACATACCTTTTCGAAAAACGAAAATGTCGAGTTTTACGCCTAATGAAGAACATTTCCTGCAAGCACTTTTTCTTTGTCCCTTCGATACAAAATAAAGTTCTCTATACGGCGTATTGTAACAGAATTTAAAAGCTTAGATCTAGTTGCAAGACCGAGTCTCTTTGGCACTTTCTTTGTTCTGTGGAAACAGATCTGTTATTAGTTGCGAAAGTCTGGCGAAATGGTTAATAGCAAACGCTGCTTGCAATAATTAATGGATATATATCGTTCGGAATCCGATATATATCGAACGGAGTATCAATATAAGCAACACAAGCCCTATTTTTTTACGTAACACCCTTCTGCTAATTTAGTGCACAGCCCATCATTAAATACCATAAACCAAGCCATAGTTATTCATATGTCGGCTTTTCAAAATAAAGCGTTATGGGGAAAGGGATCAAAAAAGTGCTCCGATCGGAACCATTTTCAATAGCGTTCGTTCTTAAACCAAACAAATGTCAGTTTACCAAAAATTGCAAGCCGTAGGTTAAGTACAAGAACACAGGACGGACGGGCAGACAAACTTAGATCCATTAAGAATAACTTTCTAATAGACAGAATAAGGCCACTTATGTTGGGCGTTGCACATATCAGCACAAGTTTATTATTATGCCTTAGAATGCAAAAAGTATTGCATTACAATTTATTTCACTGAGCACACACCCTCGAGAAAATCGGTCACACCCGCCCAGAGTAGCATAGAATATGAAAGTTGAGTTTTGCATTTCTTTTATAGCCTCCTTTTATAATAAAGTTGGTGCTTCGGTCAGCCAAGTATAATGTTCTAACTTGTTTTTGATTAGCTCAAATGGTCCGTAAAATATTCAAGAAAAAAGCAAAAAGATTAAAAAAGAAAATATATAAGATATAAAAATCCGATTTCGAGAATGCAGCTCTGCGTATTTGAAGTTTTAAAGACGTTTTCTGCGAAATCATATTATAATTTATAAGCCTATGAAAGGACAAACTTGGGCAGACTGATTCTAGAATGCGCGCTGCTCAACAATACATAAAGACGTTCACGAAGCGCAGGTTTCCACCCTATCTCCTTCTAACGGAAGTAGATTTAAAAACGATAATCAAAAATCACACGAATGACTTGACAGATCGGGATAAAATTTTTCTCAAATGCAGAAGAGCCTCGGAAAGATTATGCAGCTTAACTATGGCCGCAAGTATGCGACGAGAGGATCCTTGTCTGTGCAACGGTCTTTTTTTCTTTTTTTTTTTTTAGAACTGCCTTCGGGAGTTCATTTTTCTCAAAGAGTTATGAAGAAATTGGTTATCTTTCCGAGAAAGAAAGCAGGACGTACCGTTAGTTGGTAATTAAACCGCTTCTTAACTGTCAGACACAATTTCTTAAGATTTTAAATTTATGATCACACACAGCTTTAGCGCTTTACCATCGCTTTATATTTTGCGGTATGCAGTGCTAATCGCTGGTAAAAAAATTATACGAGAGCTTCGGAATGACGAAAAGGAATTAATTATAAAAACCGACAGTAATATTACTGTTTATAGCCTCTTTTGGCAGTTTGTTTATATGTGTATCATATAAGTAAATTGACTTGAAGCACATGAATCGATACGTCTTTTTCAATAAGCGGCTTTATTATATCTTCTCTACTCATTACAGTGAATCATCTGTTGTGGATTTGCAGAAGGAAAAGAAACATATGCCGACCTACTTACCTGCTTACATATAGAGGGTGTTCCAGCATTTTCGCAAGTAATAATGCGAATAGATTGTGTAGAGAACAAAGTATTGAATAAATGCTCTCTAAAGGCTGAAAGATTCGTAAGATACTTACACTTTTGATGAAATTTCGAATGATAGGTTGGGTTAAGTGCGGATAAATCTCGTTGATGCAGCGCTTAGTTTCTTTCCTTAAGGCGTGTGTGATCATGCGCCTCTTGACATGCCTTTTAGATTTCATGAGCTTAAAGAAATGAGTTTAACGGAGTTGATCGCACGGTCTGACCGATCACCAAAAATGAAAAATTACATGACTCATCCGGTAATTGAATCATTTCTCAGGCTGCATGCGGCATGTGACTGTACTTTTTTTTTCGGTTAACGTGTTATGATGAGTACGTCCCAAAAAAGGGAGAGAATGAAAGATAGAAAGTGGTCGCAGTTCGGAAGGTGTGCGCGCGATCGGTCAGCGTTATGCGTTTATCGACTCATTTCAGCTACGATCATACAACAATCGTAGTCATATTAAGACCATATGTCGTCTGCATGTATAGCTTGCAATTTAGACGCGAAACATTTAGTTATCAGAGTAGTAGAGTTGCATTTTCGAAGAAGAATGACCCGATGATGTCTCGAAAGTATTACACCCGCACGAAATCTGCTTACTTGCAACATTTTAGATGCATTCGTGCTTCAGCAATTGTTCGTAGATATTCTGAACCCTAAATGAAACAATTTCAACGATTAACGAAGCCTCAGGAAATGATTTGGTTCGAACCGTAGCTGCAAAACCATCGTAACTTTTAAAATAATGCTTGGTGAAAACGTGTTGTGTCCCATGGTTAGAAATCAATTTTCAATCCACGACTTTAGCACATTACTTGAATTTGTGGAACACTCTGTATAAGTGCACAGTAGTCAGCATTTTCGTTTCTAGTGTTATGCTCTACACCGCTTGCGGTACAGGGTATATTAATTTCGTGTGGATGTATGTAAGCCGCAGAAGAGGTTAAAAGGGAGCCAAATTTTTTTATATCGAGTGAATTTCTGAATCTATTTAAGTTTGTCTGTCCGTCCGACTGATATCTGACCATGTAAACTTTTACTACTACTAAAATTGGCTCATCGACTTGTTTTGACCCAAGGTCGAATGCTATTGAAGATGGTTTGGATGGGTCCACTTCTTCGACCACTCCCCATATTAAGTCTTATTTTGTAAAGTCGTGAAACAAAAACAAAACTTGCTGTGAAATTTCCATGTTTCAAATTGGTATGATTCGCTTGTGGAAATTATTTTAACCCTTTCTCATGTAACCTTTCCTGTGAAAACTGAATCTTTCTATAGTCGATTTTTGCATACCCCGCATATAAGCGAAGTAGTGCAGGGTATCATATAGTCGGCGTTGCCCGACTTTAATTTTCTTAAACGTTTTCTAATAATTTATTATACATTTGTGTTTGCTTTGTGATCGTAAATGTTGGAAATCATTATCCTTTGCCATTGAAAATCAAAATTTTCTGGGTAATTGTTGAAATATATTTGGAAACAATCTTAAGACTTATAACATTAAGTGGCCTAATGGTCTGTAGAGAAAACCAAATTTATGGCAAAATTATATAGAGGATTAATTGTTGTGGAAAATGTTACTATTAATTTACTTAATGCACAACCATATTTGACCATATTTATTATTATACGCATGCCCGATTAAAATGTAGATTTACGTATATATTAGTTAATTAAGATTGCATAAATTGTTTTTAAAACAAACAAGAAAAGAAACTTTTATCGATATTTCTTCTTTGGCAACGAGAAGACATA